GACCCACACATTTTTGCGAATTTCTCGGAAACCAAAGGAACACCTAAATTAATTTTGGAGGCCCTAATTAACACCTAAAAGACACCTAATTCCTAGCTAATTTTTATTGATTTTTGGCGACTTGGGTCAGCTAGGTTTATGGACGTGTCAAATTGAATATGTATCAATGTAAACCTAACAAGAAAATCGCCTTAACTTAGCTTTGTAATCGTTTCAAATTGGCATTGTTTAAATGTTGATTCAAAATACCTCTTCTTCAAAAGAACAACGATATCAACATAAAAACAACCCTTAAACAATATTAAATAAAGGAGATTTTAACGTTAAAATAATATCTTTGTGCTACTATTTCATCACGAAATATGCTTAAAACAAATTTTGTAACGCTTTTGAATTAAAAATATACTGATGTCTAGTCCACACCTAAAAATATTAAATTGACTAAGACTTAACGTCAAATTAAATATAAATTCGGTTGATTTTCATTGTAATCTGCTAAATTTTAAAATAATATTTTTTATAGTTGATATAACAATTTTCAAGGTTGGCTGACTATCATCACTGTTTTTTGTATATTTGACTTCGTTTTTGTAAAATTTACGTTGTTTTTTCCCTCAGTGTACATACTTATCCATCCAGCCAGAAAACTTCACTGTCTTCCAATGCAGACCTCTAACGTTTACTAATCGGTCTTTTGTACGGCCTCGCATGTTGTTGCTCGATTGCTTTTTCCTTCGCCCAACAAAATATTCTCAGAGACCTATTGCCATCCAAGTGTGACTACCCACATTCTTATGTCGCTACAGAGCGATTGTTAGCGATTTTTGCTGACTTTGTTCGTTTTTTTTTTTAACTTTTAATCCAATTTTACAGCAATGTACTTAATATTACAGCACACTCTCGTACTCGGTTTACCACCTTTCCGGTCGTATCACAATTTTTCTTTGTCATGTTAGAACTTTGTTTTTATTTCTCTTCAGTCGTAATAATTCAAGACAAAAATACCAAACTGT